TTTGACAGATATGGAAACTGAAATTGAGACAGGTTCAGTAACTTGCCTGTTATCTGTCTGGGTCCAGAGTCCATGCTCTCAAGCTCTCAAGTAGTTCATCCTCATTATAAATAAACTGAAAGGGATTGAATGTTGGTTAACACTAAACAATCTACAACATGCTTTCATGCATGGTAACTCACTACAGCCACCTGTGAAGCATTGCTGGTGTCCAGTTTATGGATGAAGAGATTGAGGCCTGGGGGTGTTAAGTGAGCTGTCCAAGTTCACAGCCAGTAAGTGGGAGAAGCCAAGCCCAGGGGCTGTGGGCTCTGGGAGCACACCATGCTGCCTCTTTTTCATTGGAGGGACAAGGGAATGAGGTGTATGCAAGGATCTGCATCCAGCTCCCGAGTCTGATGAGTTTGGGCAGCGGCTCCAGGGAAAGGAGGAGTCCAGGAACAGAGCAGGAGGAGGGGGCGGGGGTGGGTGGGAGGCTCTCCCAGGAGTGGCCTTTCCAACAGCAGGCGCTGTACTCCTGCTGCCACTGAGGAGTCAGACGTTCCTTCTTCTGAAGGACTCTCCCCTGTTTCTGGTGAGCACTCCCCTTCCCCAGGTCAGACAGGCAGCTGAGCAACAAGGGCTAAGAGAGAGTTCAGACTCTTGGGCTTGAAGCCTGACTGTCTCTCGCTGGTAGATTTTCCTCAGTTTCAGTCAAGTGGAATTAATAATAGAGCCCTTCTAACAAGCTTGTTATAAGGATGAAATGAATTAATCCACATATATCTCGGAGAAGAGTGCTCACCTCAGAAGAAGCACTTAAGCAATGTTGTAAGTAGGTGTCCTCTTCCTGCAGAGAGCTCTTATCCTCGGGTGTTGGTTGGGACCATAGCAGGTCCCCCTGAGCTGAGAGGCCAGCTTCCTTGTCTGAGCAACTCTCAGCCTTCCCCTGCTTGGCTAGGCCCAGCCCTGGACCCCATTCTCTTCCTCATTTTCATTCTGCCAACATTTTGGCAGCAGCTCATTGTTGAGATTCTATGAGATTCTTTTTTATCCACATGGATTATATATAATCTTCAAAGAAAATGACACCAATTTTCTCTCCAAGTGTGATAGACTAGATCAGCTGCCATCGGGGTAAGGAGGTCTCAGTTCTGGTCCCGGCATTACTATTTGTTAGCTGTGTGATTTTGAGGATAGCATCAAAATTCTCTGGGCCACGGTTTTCTTGCAAAACAAGGAAGGAGTTGGATTTATTTATTTATTTTGAGATGGAGTCTCACTCTGTCACCCACGCTGAAGCGCAGTGGCACAATCTTGGCTCACTGCAACCTCTGCCTCCGGGATTCAAGTGATTCTCCCACCTCAGCCTCCCGAGTAACTAGGACTACAGGCATGCATCACTGCACCCGGCTAATTTTTTGTATTTTTAGTAGAGCTGGGGTTTCACCATATTGGCCAGGCTGGTCTAGAACTCTTGACCTCGTGATCCGCCCGCCTTGGCCTCCCCAAGGGCTGGAATTACAGGCGTGAGCCACTGCACTTGGCCGAGTTTAATTTTTGAAAAGTGCCCTGAGCCATCACTCCATGCCAGATAATGTATGGTGGGGGGTGGGGGGCACTGGGGCGGGGGCACCAGGGGATGTAAAAACAAAGGTTCCAAGTCCCCCCTCAAAGAGCTGCACTCTGGGGCAGAGGAACACCATGGTGAAAGGACACATCATCTCCTAGCTATGTTTGACTCTGGCACTCTAGAATTATCCCTGTTGTCACCCTTGACTCCTACCAATGCTATCGTGCTAAACAGTGAACAAATATGTCTGTTACTAGTCTTTGCTCTTTCCGCAGGTATCTGTTCTGTCTAAAGAAAAACTTCATTAGACAATCCAAGTTCTGAACCATTGGTTTAGCATGGTATGCGTCCCCCTAAAAAGGTCCTCTTACTGATCGATGACCAAGGTTATGGTAATGGCTTCCAAAGTTCAGATTCAGATATTAGATGTGGCCCTGAGTTTCTCAGGGTTGGTAATACCAGAGACATTCTCCCAGCTCACCTATACCCTTTTCCGGGAGGCTTCTGCCTGATATTTCAAATCAGTAGGCCTGGAGGCTTCAGTCTCAGTAATTCAACAACTACAGCAGCTGGTTCTTTTCCCTTAAGATTTAATACTTGTCATTTATCTATGTCAAAACTGTAAAGGAGCAAGTTTCCAAAGACAGATTTATTATGTGTGCTGAGTGTCTCAGGTGCAGCAGTGCATATAGATGGGCCGAATTCCATATTTTCCGTGGGTTTTTGTTCTATAAAAATAGCCACTTTTACTTTGCATTCAGACAAGTGAGAAATATACAGTCTTGAGCTGTGAGTCACCACGGGGCACTTACAGACAGTAACATTACTGTGAGACTGGGCTCTAGCCATTGGGTCCAGGATCAGCTGCCTAGCTTGCGCATGGGTTGGCTTAGGCAAGGAGCAAGTTGTAACCAAAGCTAGCTACATAATTTGTGAGGCTCAGTGCAAAATGAAAATGTGGAGCCTCAAGGTTAAAAAGCAAGAAAAAAAGCGCTGTTATAGATAAAACTTTTTTCTTTCTTCTGCAGTCTCTCTCCCAGCATGTCATAGTGTTTTTCATTTGTTATTTAACATCATTCTAAGAAAAATGAAAGTTTTCAATTATTACCGTGAATTTTACAGTTTATCTTTACATTGTGCAAGGCAAATATAAATGCAAATATAAAAGCACTTAATGTGTATGTGGAATCACTGAACTTATACAATTTGCATTTTGCAGCCCCTCCCTAAAAGGTGCCTTGAACTGTCCAGAAGAGACAAACCGAAGCCCGGCACTGGAAGGGAGGAAAAGAGAGATGACCCTCTCCCCGCAACAAGGTATGTTGCTGGCTGTAGCTGGCTGAGGGAGGGCTCCAGGTGTGAGGACACTTGCAGGGGAGTGTGGAGCTTCATAAGTGCCCCGGACCTCTGTCCCTTGATGGAAGAGGCATCCGCACTCTTCCTGCTTCAGCCAAGGAACCCTGCCCGAGGCAGCCAGAGGCAACTGGGGCTGTGGGTCTGAAGAAATTAAGCCAGACATCTTTCCTTTCCACGGTCTCTCACCCCTTCAACCCATGGCAGTTGGCTTCCCTGGATTTTTGAACCTGTGTGCTGGGATGTGCTTGGTACCTGGATTAAGTAGGTGAGACTTGATCCCCTGGAGATGGGGCCTCCAGCTAGCCATCCAGCAGGTGTGTAGGGGTGCTGCCGAGCCTCACTACCAAGACTTGGGTGTGCACTGGGCCCCTGACTCTCCTTGTGTCTTGTCTGAGGTGGAGAGCAGACACAATTGTGCGGTGGGGCCTGGGGGAGAGAGAGACCCCACAGCCCCCGCTGAGAACCATCCTGGAAAGGTGGCAGGAGGTAAGACCACAAGTAAACTGAGGTCCTAAGCCCCTGTGAGTGCCCCATTATCCCATCAGACCTCACAAAACACAAATTCAAAGATACAAGTCTTAAGAATTTCAAGATGGTGACCACAGAGCATTAAACCTCCTGAGGAGGAAGCCCCTGCCCCTGAGGCTGCCCTGACTGTAACCCTAGATCCACAGAATGGCTTGGGACTGACACTACCCTACTTAGTAATCCTTGAAGCTCTGACCCTTTCAGGACCATCACCCAGCAGGCCAGTGCGTTTCAGGGCCATGACAAAGAGGGGAACAAGGAACAAATGTTGGAGACAGAGGCAGACCCTATCATCTGTGTTACCTCAATAAAGTCATTCCACTTTCCTACATTTACCTTTTACCACAGGGTGAGGAGGATGGTGTCTACCTTTCTCCTTTGCCTCCCCAAGATATTAAACACAGAATGCTAAAGGAAATGTATGCGGGTATCTCCAATCCTTAGAAAGCAGATGTCATATAATCACAGGGCTGAAGAGAAACTGAAAGCCAGCTGGGTCGATTTCTTACTCCAGACTTCAATTCCTCCTTCAACATTCCACTAAGAAATCGATCGGCCTCTGCTTGAATCTCTCTTGTGACAGAGAGCTCACTACCTTTCAAGGTATCTCATTCAATGATTGGATAATTCCTATTGCTGTAAAGTGCCTAGAATAGTGTCTAGCACATATTAGGTACTCCATAAATACTTGTTTTTTTCTTTCATAATTGAGATTTTATTGTTTGCATTAAGGATCAGTAACAGACATTTCAATTTGTACACAATTCTTAACATACATACCAACAATCTAAAAAGGCATTATTGTAATTCCTTTTTAAAGTTGTTCTAGTGATTTTCCAGCTTAAAATTTGGAGGCAATTTTTCCTTAAAAGGCTATCAAATACCACTATCTTCACATATTAATCAACTGTTACCTAGTCCCACCAATTCAAAATTGTATAGCATATATACCACATACTCAAATTTTCAATCTTCCACAGCACATGAACAAAGTTATTAGGGAAACAGGACTGTGACCAAAGATGGTACAGAGCGCACACAATGCTGACAGGAAGAGCCATGTTCAAGGGCTAGCTTTCTTCAGGAAACAATTCTACTGAAAAACAACATGGCACTAGAAGTAATTTAAAATGTCCAAGACATTAAATGCAGGACTATGACTCTATGTTGCCATTCAGCATGCATTATATTATAGTATATAAAAACTAACCCCCCATCTAACACCCAAGACAGTCAAAGCCTCTCATAATTCAATATCCCACACTATCTTCTGGTTGTACCAAAAAATAAACAACCAGCGAATGACTTTACCTCTTAAAAAGCATATGCTTAAAAAAATGGGATGAGGTGGGACTCCCTCCTTAAAAACGTTTCTAGAGTTACCAAAAAACTTGCATTTACGAAATAGTTGATAAAAATACTCTTCTGGATTGTACAAGAAGGGAGACAGGGGCCGCTGAGACAGGGTACGTGCTATTAATCAGACCGGGCTTCTTTCTTTCTGGCATCATCAGAGGCTGAGCTCTCTCCGATTTTAGTTTCTCCATTTTCTGTAGGTAGATGTTCTTTAGTTTCTTGGTTAGCCACTTGGCCTGTTTTCTCTTTGCTCCCCTTTTCTCTTTTGTTTGCACTTTTTTTGTCTGAAGATGTGTCCTTTCCTGCTGCCTTTTTGGCTTCGTTTCCACTTTTGCAGGAGCGGATTTAGCTGAAAACCGCACCGGTCCCCTCTTGGGCTCTTCCTTGGCTGCCCCTTCGGTGCAACTGCCCTTCCATAGTTTCCATCTGAAGAGTTAGCTCTCCCTTCTGGTGCAGAACAGGGAAGCCTAATCTGTCTTCCATGAGATTCAAGAGGCTGCTCCTCCTGGGGCCTCTGTGGGTATCCTCCGTGTTGCTCCTAAGCTCTTATTCCTCAGGTAAAATGGTGCTGAGTCTACTCATCATCGGACTGTGGCGCCTAGTATTGGACACCACATCCCTGATGTACCCTGACACCTCATTTCTCTCCCACATAGAACCTAGTGGGCACTGTGCCCCCGCATCTATTTGAAGAACTGCTCAAGAGGCTTTGTGGGAGGTCTGGCTCTTCCTCACCCCCGCCGGACTTGACGTGCCTGCCCCCACCACCCGGCATACTTCCCAGCATACTTCCGGTCAGGCAGCAATCAGCTCGCTCCTCACGGGGATCAGCTGTGGTGACTGAGACTGGCTTGCTCTTGCAGCCCCAGGAACACAGAGGTTCATGCTGAAGAACCAAATGGTTCCTACAGTACAAGCAAGTGCCAGGCACTCCGCAGGAGGCATCACTGGCACCTCCTAATTGATGAGCAGTCCAGCTCTGAAGCTGCGAGCTCTAAAGCCGGATACCTCCTCCAGGTGACTCTTTCTGATCTTCCTCTCCCAGCTGAATAGAGTGAACTTCAGTGTTTCTGGCCTCCAGTTCCTGAACTCTGCTTCTTCTAAGGCAGGTAAGGCAGTTTTGTTCCTCTGCTGGAAGAATAATTTCAGGCCTCCGTATGCCACATGCTGGTCCTTTTGCCTGGAATGCTCTTCCTGTCTTCTCTGCTTTCTCCTTCAAGTTTTAGCTTAGGCATTGCCTTTTCCGGGAAGCTCTTCCTGATCCCCATTCCTACCCACAGTGAGTCACTTACTCTCTGTTCCTCACTTCCACTATGTTTCTGCCTGTCTCCATCATTCTACTCATTAGCCCAGGTGGCAATTATTTGTTGTGGTGTTTGTTGCAGGCAAAGATGGTCTTGTTTGTTTTTTTTTTTGGTTTTTGCATTTTGCTACTAAATGTGTTTTTGATAAATGAATAAATACAATAACACCACAATAATAGCAGCTAAAAATTATGTATTGAGCATTCAGTATGTGAATGCACATGCATTTTCTTAAGTATTCCAATAACCCTGTGCCATGGTTATTATCTCAGTCTTAAAGATGTAGAAACAGGCCCAGATGAATTATGTAACTTGTTCAAGCCCATGCTAGCAGTTTGTGGCGAGTCTGGGACTTAAACCTAGGTCTTTTAAAAAAATTATTATTCCAAAGTCTTATTTTAAACTTTGTAGTATGAATGTTGATCCCAAAGATTTTAAGCACTCCTGAATGTTATATCTTGCATCTAAGAAGATAGGCAGTTCTCGGAAAAAATCAACTGCTTAGAATGCCTTTTGCATAGAACTGCTGCTAACATTTCTTTTTGCCAGTAATAGAATTTAGACTCATATTAGGTAGTGCAATGTAGTGGTTAAGAACTCAGACTTTAGAGTCTGCCAGACCTGAGCTCAAATCCTAGCCCTGATACTAGTATCCTGTGTAAATTACCATAACTTGCCCAAATCATAGTTTGCTTATACGGTATATAAAAAGGGGCTAAACTATGTTGGAGAAATGAAACTGTTATTTACAGATGCCATGATTGTGTGCTTATAAAATCTAAAATAATCTACAAACTATGGTAAGCTGAAAAATGCACCTCCCACCCCACCTCCCACTCAGGATATCAGGTCCTAATTTCTGGAACTTATAGATGTTACCTTATTTGAAAAAAGCATCTTGGCAAATGTGCTGAACCCCCAATTCGCCTCAGTAGGGAAAGCACCAGGTTCACGAGGCCAAAGAAGAGACCCAGAGCCAGCAAACGAGACGCAGGGTTTTATTAGGGGCTCACACACGGGGGAGAGAGTCCAGTGGTGGTGGGCTGGGCAGGAGACCTGCCTTACCTACAGGAATGGTCCAGTGGCAGTGGGCAGGACAGCATAACCACATGGCCTAGTGGCGGTGACCTGGGCAGGAGAACCACAACTTCCTTTCTAACTGTAATGAAGTTAGAAAAATTTACCAATGTTACAAAACAAAGTCCAGAAATAGACTCATATATCTAATTACCTGATTTGTGATTAAGGTAGTGCATAGGAAAGAAGGCATAGTTTGTTTATTAAATGTTGCTCCATCATGCACTTTATACAGCATTTTCACTTAACAGCCTCCATCTAATGACCTCCACCTGGCAACCTTCATTTAACCCAAAACTCAAGGCCTCAGTCCCCTGTACAGACCAGCCCGTGTCCCACAGGACTGGCCGGGGGCTCTGATGTTTGTGATAGAAAAGGAATGAATCTCCAAGCTGGCCACTACTAGATTCCCTAGCTCAGCACAAACATTCAGGTGCACCTGCCATACAGGGTCATTCTAAGAGTATGTTTAAATCATTGCTTTTAGGTGCATTTACCCTATAGCAGATGTAATTAAGTTAGAGATCTTGTGGTGGGGAGATGATCTTGGACTATTTGGTTGGGGCATAAAGGCTGTTGCATGTGTCCTTATATGAGGGAGGCTGAAGTTGGTCATACACACAGACAGAAGAGAAGGCCATGTGCAGATAGAGGCAGAGATTGGAATGATGTGGCCACAAGGAATGCCAGAGCCACCAGAAACTGGAAGAGGCAAGAAACAGATTCTCCTGTAGAGCATCTGGAAGGAGTATGGCCCTGCTGACACCTTGATTGTAGCCAAGATTTTGGACTTCTGGCCTCTAGAGCTATGAAAGAATAAATTTCCATGGCTTTAAGCAACTAAATTTGTGGCTAATTATTGCAGGAGGCTTAGACAATTAATACACAAACTATTAGAATTAATAAATGTAATTAGTAAAGTTGTTGGATACAGGTCAATATACAAAAATCAATGGTATTTCTATCAGCAACTAACAAGTAAAAATTAAAATAAAATGTTATATTTATAATAACATCAATAAACATCAAGTTCATAGGATTAAATATAATAAAAGATGTACAACTTCAAAATATTATTGAGAGAAATTAAAGATGACTTCAATAAATAAAAAGATATATTATGTTCACGAATTGGAAACTCAACATTGTAAGATGTCATTCCTTCCCAAATTAATATATTGATTCGATATAATCCCAGTAAAATTCTGGTAGTTTTTTTTTCTTTTGCAAAAATTGATAAACTGATTAACAAGACCCATTATCCATCTGTTTTGATTTTGTATTTGGTATGAAATAGGAGAAGTAAAGGATAGCAGCTCTAAATGTAAAAGATAATAAAACTGTAGAAGAATACCTAGGATAACATTTTCATGATCCTTGAGTAAGCAAAGCTCACCTATTTAAAAGGACAGAAAAATTGCTAACCTGAAAAAGAAAAATACAAGGACAAAATATACTTTGGTTTTTCAAAAGACATCAATAAGAGGGTAAAAATATAATGCAAAAATGAAAAGATATTTTCAACACATATATCCCACAAAGGTCTTGTATCCAGAATATATGAAGAACTCTTACAAATCAGTTAGAAAAAGACAACCTAATAGAAAAATGGGCAGAAGGCTTGAGTAGACATTTCTCAAAGAAAACATCCATGTGGAAAAATAAGTAAACAAATAAAATAAAGCCAACCATGTGAGAAGGTACCTGACTTCATTAATCATCAGGGGAATGCAAATGAACGTCACGATGTACCACTGCACACTCACTGGAAGGCTACAAAGGAAAAAGGAGGTTTCAAAGGCTGGTGAGATTGTGGGGCAAAGTGAACGCTCCTATACTAATGGTGGAAATATAAATTTGTACACTTCTTTCGGTAAAGTGTCAGTATTTAATAAAGCTGAACATATGCATGTCTTACTCTCCAGCTATTTCATTTCTAGCTATATACCCAATAGAAATGCACTGAAGTAATCACCAAAACAATATGTGCTAGGATGATCATAGAACTATTTGTAATAGTAAAAATAAAATGGGATATTACCCATATGTCCAAAAACAGTAGACTGAATAAATTTTGTCTTATTCACATAATGGAATACTATACAGAAATAAGCAAAAATGGTCTATATTCATGTGACAATGTGAATGAATCTCAGACAACATAATGTTGAGTGAAAAAGGCCAGACCCAATACAGAACCTATTTGTTATTCCGTTTGTATAGAGAACAGAAATGGACAAAACGAATCCATGCTTCTAGATATTAGGACAATGGTCACCCTTGCATAGGCATGGTAACTGGAAGGGAACCCAAATAGGGACCTCAGAGTGCTTGTATTCTATTTCTTGATCTCAGTGCTGGTTACATATGCATTTAGTTTGTGAATATTCATTGGGGCCAATATCTATGTGCACTAGAAAAGTAAGTTATGCTTCAACAGAAAGTTAATAAAAACTTACCCTATATTCTATGGTGTTAGGATGAGGATTAAGAAAAGTAATTTTTTAGCAAAGGTCCTGGCACTTAGCAAATATTAAAAGTGAAAACTATTTTTATTTTTGCTGTAAAACATAAGTTATTTTCTAATGATTATCTGCTACAGCTAATGCTAACAGCTTCATTTTTAAGTTGCTTGATATTAGTCTGACAAATGAAGGCCTGTCCAATCCTGATTCTGCTGCAGTGACTTTGAAATTTGTTTAAATTTGTGTAGCAGTGTTGAGCATCATGAGATTTGAGAGCTGAACCCTGCTGAACCAAAATGTCTGTTAACATGAAATTATTGCTCTTCATTTTGAATATTTTTCTAAAGCAGTTCTGGCAAGTGAGGCCAAGAGCCATGAAAGGGCCATAACTAAGGTTTTCCAGAATCACCTCTGACATGGATTTGACGTACAGGTGTGTTATCTAAGTGAGATTCAGAAATGGCTTCAGACAGGACTTTTACAGGTACCAGTGAGTTTGAGGAGCGTTAGAAATGCAAAATGTCCATGTTACCTGGCCCCTCAGCACATACTGGTCCCATTTGCACTCTGTACAAAGTTTCTTATTGTCTCCCTAATGTTATAATGATCCTAAGGCCAAATTCTCAGATGGACGCAGATGTAATTCACGTTGAACATCACAGTTTATTTGCTTATACTCTTTCTTATTGCAGAAAGTCTCAAAGTGGTTTACAACTGCTATTTGAGTCATATTTAGGGGTACCTGCTAGGCTGTGACCTCCCTCCTCTAAGAACTGCCTCTCTCAATTATAGTGGGGGGCCTGGAAATTGTGTTTACACCTTATTAACCCTCCCTCCATACGGGAACAGAACTGGTGGAGATGGCTGACTTAAGATGGGCCAATTGCAGTCTTTCTCCTGAGAATTTGAAATTAGTACCTAAAAACAGCAGTCTCTTTCCACTAATTGGCTTGACTGAGACCTTGTCAAATTACCTGTTTTCACAGAGAAGAAAACTGGTTTATGGAGGAAGACAGAATGAAACAGATGCATAGGAGAAAGTAGAGGGAATCTTTGGGGAAGAGAAAGGTAAGAGACTAGGAGAGAGAATGCTTTGATTTCTTATATTTCTCTCAATCCTGGTATTTGTTCTTCCTCTGATCCAGCTATACTTCCTCTCCTGTGTCCATGAAATAACCCCCATGATGTTTAGTTTAGACTCCTCCCATTATGTTTAGTTTAAGCAAGCTCAGGTAGGCTGCCCACAGTCTCCAACTAATATAG